GCTGTGAATAAGACTAGAGCATTCCAGGAAGTTAGAGACTAATTAAAAATAAGTTTAATCAGGAGAAGGAAATAAAAGTACAAAACAATAGCCAAACATTTGAATGCCATGTGGGTAGAATTGTTAGAAAAGTTTGTTCCTCAAAACTCTCTGCACAAACCGGATAAGGAGACTTATTAATAAAGTAACTGAGAGAGGCCAGTATAGTCACTTTGAAGGAGATACAGTCAATATTCTAAAAAAGTAAAAAAAAGTGAACTAGTCAACCTAATCAAGAGCTCTGCTTGTAGGGAGGGTGTCACAGAAGCCACCATTACTGCCATGCCTGGAGTTAATATACAGTAGTAAACCAGATTATAGTCAGAGGAGACCTATAGAGATGTGAATCAGAAGGTAATTAAAACTTATGCTTCTGTTTACTCTTAACGATTATCATTAGCAATTCTTTTGAATTTGAATAAGAAATGGAAAACAGAAATGCAATTCTCTTGCAAAATGCTGAGATATAGTTATAACCAGCAATGCAAAATGCTCACCTTTCTGGGAAATTTGCAGAATCTGTGGCATACATGATTTGTGTTTTGGGGCTACGGCTGTTCTTGATGCCGGTGTGCATTTGACTACAGTAGCATTTCTTTAATCAAAGACCCGTCTCTGCTTAGTATTTTTTTTTCATGGTGAAAACAAATTGTGGCAATTGCAAGGCTATAGAAGGGCCAGGATTGGCAGCTAGTCCTCCCAACCAAATGAGATACAAAATTGTTTATTTATAGGTAAGAAGAAAAATCCTGTATACATGACAATAATTGCTTGAATACATGAACATAAGAACTACTTGCATGTGTAAAAATGTAAAGAATAAAAAAGAAGAAGTAATATCCTGGCTGAGCTCTCCTCTTCCAGTTGTGCACTGCTATTATATGGTGAATGGTAAATGCAAGAGCTGTCAATTTGAGTGATCAGTCCAATCCAGTAAAACAGTCCCTGATTGGTCTTTACTCATCGTCCCTACCCAGTATACCAACCCACCTTACCTGAGATCCAGTTTCTATCCACCTTTTTCCTACATCTCATGACACTTGGTGCAAATGATGGGAGTGACTTCTGTTAAACTGTATACAATCAACCAAAGATTCCTTCTATGAATGCAATAATAAGCATTAAAAAACAACAACAACAAAAAAAACAGGTGCAATGAGATGACATTATTCTACTAACCTTTCAACCATCAAACATTAACAAATCATTAACAAATTACTTTCAACAGACCATGAATAACCCCCAAAAACGTGATTATTTCTACAGTAATATCACAGGTGTGTTAAATATCACAGTCTGTATTATGTAACATATGTAGCCTTAATCAAAAATGTTTATTACCTGAACACTGAGTGGTAATATTGAGTGATTTTCCTCACTTTGACAGATAACAAATATTGTATTTACCTGCTTTAGAAACAGGATAGAATTAGAAGAGGATTTTTGGAGATTCTTAGAGCATTCTAATGAATTATTCATTGTAATTAAATTGGGAGAGCAGACCATAAATGCACAGTGTATGTTGTCTTTTTTCATACAAAGAAAAAAGGAAAATAATCAGGAGGAAAATAATTCAGCAGATTGAAAAGAGCTCTTGCCATAGATATTCTTGTTATACTATGTCACCAAAATACCAAGTGTTACGTTATTTTCCTGACATCTGAAAATAGAACATGAAGGAAAATGTACAGCTCATTCAATCAAACTGACAGATAAGGATTATTTGTAGCGAAACCTTATGATTTGAAATGATTTGTTTCAGTGTTTTTTAGTGAAACTTCCCCAGATCAGAAGTACCTCCCATAATCTAAAATGCAATAGACTCTTTATGAAAAAGGGTAATTGGTTGAACTTTCCAACGTTTTGAAATGGCGTAGAAAAATAAAATGCATCATCATCATCATCATCATCATTGACACACATTAGGATCCCGGATGTCCTTTGGCTTAAGCGAAGTGGCATGTAATGCCACTCTATGATGATTATCTCAAGATCTACGCAGTGTGCTATGCTGTGTTTGGGCTTGTTTGAATTGAGAACACCTACTTTACATAAATGCATGTGACCTTTTAGGGTTTACTAATGTTTGCTGAAGCTACAAACCAAAACGTGGCCCAAAAGCCGCATGTGTATACTGTTTACATGTACTTGGTGTTGTTTGGTCTATGTGAAACAAGTAACCTTTTCAACGATATACGACACAAGACATCTGTTGTGTATAACAGATCACATTTTCAAGTAAAGTCACATTTTTATTTTCAATTTAGGCATATATTTTTGACCTTTTTCTCTTTCAACCAAAAACAGACTGTCGAAATTTGTGTCCCTGTTTTTATCTTATGTAAAATAATGTACTTTAGTTTGAGAGTAGGCACTTAAGCTAATTTCACCAAGGGCCAATCACTTTAAAATTTCTGGCCTCGCCACTGAATTGCAGTTTAGTAAATCAGTCAGATTAACCGAGAAACTGTTCAAAATTGATAAATGTTTGTGATTCACTAAAACGAAACATCTCATAAGAGTCATTCGCTCAAGAATCAGACTTCACTGGTCACACTGTATGTTTCACGCTGAGAACCAGTAACAGAAACAAACACCATGAAAATCTTGGTTCTCAACTCTTGTAGAGACCACACATTGCACACAGCGTCTGAGGAAAACAAAGCAATGTTTTACTCTTCAGATGAAATGCTGACACAGCCTGGCCTTTAATACCATCTCACAGTCTGAAAGTGGTACATGAAGTTCTGCAAGGTTTCTTCCAACTCCAAATTAATAAGTTAAATAAATCCTGCCACAAGTGTATTCACTGTCCATATAACTGATAACTGGAACAGATCTTCTTTATTATTGCAGAGCTCATATTATCACAATGATACACTAGCCTGTTGTATTAGAGCACAAACCCATAACTAAAAACTCCACAAATCAACTATTGTAGACGCTCAATAGATTTGTAAGCTGTGTGTGGGGGATTTACTCTCTGGACATTTTCATTCCGTTTTATAATGATAAAGCTCCATATTGGAGCAAATGATTTAAGAGGATTTATCTTAGATAACACTGAGATCTTTGTGAGCTGGACAGAGATGTGTGTGTGTGTGTGTGTGTGTGTGTGTGTGTGTGTGTGTGTGTGTGTGTGTGTGTGTGTGTGTGTGTGTGTGTGTGTGTGTGTGTGTGTGTGTGTGTGTGTGTGTGTGGATCACTGATGTGTTGACAGCTTAACTTGTTGAGAGTGCAGAGCAGGACAATATCTCATGCTTTCAAGCACAACCCAAGCTGTAAATTATCAATGAAGATCACAGCAGGAAAATAAGAGTGGTTTAAATAGAGTGAAATGTGTGCTGAGAGCCAAATCCACAAGCAGACAGTTTGTCTTAATTTATACCACCAAGATTTTCTAAGGAAAGTGAATACGCTCTTTTTCTCTTTGAATAGTTTCTCTTTGCTGGAGATAAGAAAAAATAAAAAACTTTTTAATAATATTTTTTTATGTAATAAATGCTATTTAATGAGACTTATAATTAAGGCTCAAAAGAACTCAATTAACATCAAATGTGACCCTGGACCACAAAACCAGTCTTAATTGAGAATAAAATAGAGATTTATACATCATCTGAAAGCTGAATAAATAAGGAAATAAGCATTGATGTATGGTTTGTTAGGATAGGACAATATTTGGCTGAGATACAACTATTTGAAAATCTGGAATCTGAGGGTGCAACAAAAAATCAAAATATTGAGAAAATCGCCTTTAAAGTTGTCCAAATTAAGTTCTTAGCAATGCATATTACTAACCAAAAATTAAGTTTTGATATATTTACAGTAGGAAATTTACAAAATATCTTCATGGAACATGATCTTTACTTAATATCCTAATGATTTTTGGCATAAAAGAAAAATCTATAATTTTGTCCCATACAATGTATCTTTGGCTATTGCTACAAATATCCCCGTGCAACTTAAGACTGGTTTTGTGGTCCAGGGTCACAAATTAACGAATGCATTTCAGACTTTAATTTATTTGATTACATAAAATACATTCTCCCTAACCAGAACGAAAACATTTAGTACATACAATATTCACTGAGCCACAAAAGTGCATTAAAAGAATAGTTTACCCAAAAATGAAAATGTGCTGCCACAAGTGGCAAATTTTCTCAGGCCATCCAAGATGTAGATGACATTGTTTCTTCATCTGAACAGATTTGGAGAAATTTAGCATTATATCACTTGCTCACCGATGGATCCTCTGTAGTGAATGGGTGCTGTCAGAATGAGAATCCAAACAGCTGATAAAAACAACACAGTAATCCACAAGTAATTCACACGACTCCAGTACATCAATTAATGTCTTGTGAAGTGAAAAGCTGCATGTTTGTGAGTCCATAATGAATAATAACGCTTCCTTCAGTGAAAAAGTCCATCCTCTGTTGTCCCTCTCACATCAAAATCCACAGAATTGGAGAAAGCAATATTATGGACTGAGGACTCGTGTTTTAGCTGAAAACAATGGTTTAAAGTTAAAATGTCCTGATGAATTTGTTTCTTACAAACACAGCTTTTCACTTCACAAGACATTAGTTGATAGGCTGGAGTCATGTGGATTACTTGTGGATTGTTGTAATGTTTTTATCAGCTATTTGGGTGTAATGTGACGTAATGTTAAATTTCTCCAATGTCTTCCTATGAAGAAACCAACTCTTCTACATCTTTTATGGCCTGAAGGTGAGTAGTTTTCAGCAATTTTGCATTATTGGGTAAACTATTCCTTAAATTGTTTAATAATTGTATTGTTGTATTAATAATAAATGTTTTTGTTTAATTTTGAATAATTATATTTCATTTTTATTCATTTTTTGTTCAACCGGAAATAAGCTTAAAGTAAAAAAATAATATATAAATATCTCTGTATACAACAGATGTGGAGCTTTCAGCACATCTGTCTTTTTCTTCCACAGATATATGGCCATCATTCATCCGCTGCAGCAGAGGATGTCTGCAACTCAGACGAAGGTGGTCATCGGGGTCATGTGGGTGCTGGCTCTCCTGCTGGCCTTCCCCCAATACTATTATTCCGACACGGACCAGCTGCCTGGCAGGGTGGTCTGCTACATCGACTGGCCTGAGTACACTGTCCTGGACTTCAAAACGATGTAAACAGCTCACCTTTTTCTAATCAGCATGCTTATTGCCACATGCCTCGATTTGCCGATATTGGAAAATGGTTAGGTTGAATATTTGCTTCAGAAATGTAGATTTATGGCTGTAGGTGCAGAGAATTCCTTTTCCAGATCAGATTTCACCAACGTTTCCGGATATTACTGGAAATATTGTCTTTATTACTCTTGGAGTAATCAAAAATCAGTGCTGCCTTTTCCCTAAATGTTGGCTTATGTAACAACAGAGAGGAGCTTCATTACAAAGAAAACGGTAAACACAGGAAAACCATGGTCCTAAGAGAGAGAAAAGACAAGAGTGCAAGACTATTAAAGCAAACATAATTTGAAATATTGCCCAAGGGTAAATACAATGACTTTACAAGAGCAGATGCTAATGATTATTATTCCTCCGTATTGTGGTTATTTACTCTCAAAAAGTTGGCTTGTATGCAGATCGACTTTAATCTGAAGTGCTGAGGTCTAATATCAAGTGCTGTGAAAATGGTGTACAAAGCCATTGAGCACAATAGAAGCCGAGATCATTCTGCAAAGAGTTGTCATGGACGTCACTTTATTTCTGAAACACGGTGAGGACAGCTGCAGGGGAGGGCAGATGTGCCAGCTGTGATGTCACAAAACCGCTTAAATCCTGAAATCCGATTTTGCACAAATAACTCGGCTAAACAGTGAACTGTTTTGACAAAAAGTGTATGTGACGTACTGATCCGTATATCAGCTATCTATTGTGGAGTATTTGCTCATTTCCAAGTTGCAAAAAGAAATGTAAATCTTAACATTAAGATTAGAAATGTTCAAAAGCTCTTTTGATATATTATCGCAATAGAATCATGGTAGCATTTTTGGTGAGCATGTATCTGAGAACTGTGTGCTGGAGAGAACATTGCTGCCGTCGCTTATTAATAAACAGCTACAGTGAGCACTTAGGAAAACAATAACAAATTCAAAAACAAATGACTTATTAACATACTAAACCTAAATCAAAACTTCTTCTCAACAATATTCTTCTTCTTTATTAGATATATCACTGCTGTTATCTTTGTAGAGAAAGACACCAGAGAAAAATGGTGTTACTATGAATTATCACCCTCTGCCTTAGTTAAAAGCCTAATTTTTCTTTCTATCTCTCCCTTCTGTCTGTATTATTTTCTTTGTTGGATCACCTCTGTATATTTCAATTTTCAACTTTCTGGTGTACTTGTTCTATTCCTCTTTCTGTCTGTCTTTACTGCTGTGAGTGAGAAGTGCTAGTCCTTATCTGTTAGTTAGTGAAGGAGTCTTTTTAAGGCACCCGAGATGTTCCCTTAAGCACCCCACCGTCTCTCACTTGCTCACTAAAACTCATTTCACATTTTTTTCCCAAACTCCCCTCTTCCATTACCGTGTCTTTCACACCACAGTTGAGCTGTGATATAAAACTTTTTTGCTGGTGTACCTACCAGCTAACACATTAATCTGTCTACTGCACAGCATCTACACTCTTAAAAATAAAGGTGCTTCACGATGCCATAGAAGAACCTTTTTGTCTAAATGGTTCCATAAAGAACCTTTAACATCTGAAGCACCTTTCTTGTTTGACAAAAGGTTCTTTGTGGCGAAAGAAGGTTCTTCAGATTACAAAAAGGTAAGAAAGAGATGGTTCTTTAAAGAACCTTTGACTGAATGGTTCTTTGTGGAACCAAAAATGGTTCTTCTATGGCATCGCTTGAAGAACCTTTTGAAGCACCTTTATTACCTCCTCGGGCTGACAAACTGAAATGTTTTAATTATTATTAATCGTTTTATTATCATTTAATATAGAATTTGATATACTTACCATTAATTAAGGCAAATAAGCAAAACAAAACAAAAAAATTAGTAGTAGGATCTAACTGGTGTGACTTCTTTAGCAAATGTCTTACTGTAAGGGATCCTAAATAGAATTAGAAATGAAGAAAAAGGGGGAGTAAAGTTTTAAAGTGCCACAGCAAAAAGGTAAGATCCATACACAAATTTGCTTCTCAACTACTTTTATGTTGCTTTAAGAATGTCAGATATTTTTAAGTCCAAAAATGGTTCTATCGAAGATAATTCGATCTGTGATTGTCACACAATGAAATAATCTACATCGTCAAATTCCTGAGAATGAGAGCTTTCTTGTGATATATGACTTGACTTTTTTGTGAAAAATATATAAAATACACATTCTTCGTAAAAATTATTCGCAATGGTTAGGCGGAAATTCGTATGTGGGACGAATACATTTCTAAGCTTAATTTTACTGCTTTATGAATATAAAAACCAAAAGGAATGGTATTATTTGTAAAGAAGACACTCCAAGCTTTCAAATGAACCCATATATGGGCTGATACCATATAAGGAAGGCTATGTAAATGAAGCATAAACATTTTTAACGTCATTTTGGAGTTTAACTGGAGTTTAACTGGTTCCCTGCAGGTTTCTGCCAAAACAAAAACTTGATGGTTTAATGTTTGAAAATGAAGAAATTAAGACGGCCATAAAGTTTTATAGTATTGTAGTCTTTTATAGCATACTATTTGATTTTAAATACTCTATTTTTATTTTATAGTGAAATATTATGATAGTTATTATATTTCTTATTTTGTTTAATATTGCATTTAGTAACAATAATAATTATTAAGTCACAATAAGTCATTATTATAATTATTATTATTATTATGAAAGAATTAGGACAGCCATAAATATCAGTATTGTAGTCTTTTATAGTATACTGTTTTTTAAAAACTTTTTTTTTTATTTTATAGTGAAATATTGTGTCATCGTTAATAGTCATATTGATATATAATCACCTAAGTTTTGGCCTGGTAATAATCACAACAAACCTGGAGCTTTTTTCTTTTATCAGTTTAATTCTGATAATTTTTATCAGAAAAATCGCAAACCATGCAGTCCTATCCCAGGGACTTTAATTTGTGAAAAAATAAATAAAACAGACAGTTTTCAGAATATCTTTCTTTGTGTTCAGTAGAACAAAGACAGTTTAGAACAACATGAGGGTAAGTAAATGAGGGCAGAGTGACTTATCCAACAAATAATCTAAAAATGGGCGCCACAGTTTATCAAAGGTCCTTAAAGAACCATTGAGTGACAGTCTAACTTTTTCCAATTTTACTGCAAGTAAACACCTCTTTTGGCTATGTATCAAAAACAGGGGGTGAGGCATGTTTCCATTTTAAAAGGATGAGATGTCTCACTGTTGGGGGTTCAGTGCCTTGCTCAAGAGTCTCACCTCAGTCGTGGTATTGAGAGTGGAACAGAGCACTGTACATTTACCC